TTTGTCCTATTAGACCACTTCGGCTTAAACTAAGTCTAAAAGACCACATACACACCTGATTCACACCTTATACCGCATGTATCACATCAATTGCCCATTTTGGCCTCTCAATGCCACATTACACAATTATGGACTTATATGAGGAATACACATACAACATATATTCACATATATATACAATTAGACTTGTTCTACTTTTAACGCTCTAACTCCTACATATAGGGCTCCCCCGCCTCACCATATGGTCAGGAATCACAAATGTACTCAACTTTTTTAAATGGGGCTCTGCCTCACTATTTGTGTCAAGTTCTCATATATTTACACATCACATTTCAATCAATACATATATACATTAGTGGAACATATAATGCCCTTTTTACTAACATTATGATACGCTCTACTTTAATCAATCCTACTCAATTCAAATATTTAATTTGAAAACTTTGGTAATCTTGAAAACTTTGGGATCCTAAGAAAAGATTTTTAGAAATCATCTTATAACTCACTCGAGTTATAAAACCCACACGCATTGAAAGCTATAAGCATAAGTACATCCCGGACTAAGTAAACAGTGCAATATAAACGAACTAAGTCAAATTTGGCACAGTGTGCCGTGTGCTGTGGCATGTGAATACATGCACTGCAGTGCACACACCTAAATTTGCTATCATTTTTATAGTGTTTTGATATGAAATTTAGATGTGTGTCGTTTCCACATCCAATGTTCGATTGGGGTGATTCAAGTGCTCACATGAAACTTGTTTTGAAATCTAACTAATGATACTAGTTTCATTTCAATTCGATATTTCTATCAAAAATTGGAGACCCAGGTGCATTTTGATCGTTTTTATTCCAAAACTTTGCCACTCAAGCGTCTCAATTCGAACCAAAAATCATTAGCCACTTTCTAGGCCTTAACTACATCTAAATGGACTATACACACTTGATTGACCATACACATGCATACACATTTTGGCCTGTAAATTGCCCATATCATACTTTAGGCCAAAATCACATTTTCATTTCTTAATCTCATAGATAGCTAGATCATCACACATACTCTTTAAACGTCATACATATATATATTCATCCACTAGCCATTTAGTCATTTCACCATTCATACATATACAAGGGCTAGGAAACTCAAAATCTTCCAAACATACCATAAATATAACTATATGCACATGTACTAAATCTTATGGCAACTTATATACATTCAAGACTAATAACAATAACTTTATTACACCAAACCTTATAAAAGGCTTATTGAGAGATCTCTACTCAGCCAATGTCTTCCCCCTTCAACCCACTAGTATAAGAACTTGAAAATATGAAAAACACAGGTGAGATAAACATCTCAGTAACCAATATAGTTCATTTAATGTCTATTACCACATATAACCATGCCAAAGTATCAAAACTCAAGTAATATCATGTATATATATATCAAAATATGAATAAATTCATTTTTCAAAGCAATTCCATACAAATACACACTAGCATGATCATCTAGCTATCGAACCTCTGATACTCCTCCCGACACGAAACTATAGGCTCTTCTATATCAACTACTTGTCGACCCAACCACACTTTTTGTGGTAGAAATACCCGACCAAAGGTAATCTAACCAACCTATAAACTATGGTTTTCCTCCTTCATACACTTGTGATAGAGGTGTCGTTGACTCCTAACTGCACCCTAATAAGCACTAGAGAGTATAATGTAGGTACCGAATGTCCTATAGTCCTATAATTTGATGTACTGGATTACCCATGGTACCAGCGGTATAATGTTGTACCGAATGTCCTATAGTGCCAGCCCGACCATAAATTTTTCACTCACATCTCCACATACACACATCCCCATATATCTTAGATGAACTCCTACCCCTATGATCATGCTCTTTCCACAATCCATTCCATTACACTCATCCGCACGTTTTATAGCATATACTTTAATATATATATATATATATATATTGAAATCAATGACTTTTCAAATTCTATTTCACAAACCAATGTTCATGATAAAATCATTCTTAATATTGAATCATGCATAAAACTCAAAAACCACAAGTTCTCATTTTTTTGTATTTACTTCTATACATTTATGATAGTTAATAAACACATAAACTATATGATTACCTCAACCCTTATGTCCGATAAAAAGGTTTACCCGTGGTACTTCCTTACTCAAATCTTTTACCGCTTATCTACTCATCATACACTAGAATCTACACAAAATTATCATTCAAAGTCAATTTCACTATTGACAAAAAGTGCCAATTATCGTAATTAAGCACCTAATTGCTATCATTTCCATAATTCATACTCAATTACGCACATTACCATTGATTATCCTTCATAACCAACTTTAACTTCTCTTGCCAAATTTCTCTTACTACTCTCTCTAGATTGGGGCAAATCTTTCCTATAGCTTTAAAGACTTATTGTTTCGACTCCAACCAGTCACAAACTACTAGCTTAGTTCCAAAGAACCTTTCTATTACTATAGGGTAAGAAATTGACTCCTTAAAACTCCCGAATTCAATTTCCTAATAGTTAAAAAAAGAGAGAAAACAGGTAGAATTGGAGGTTAAGCAGTATGAGACTTACCTGATAAGTAACAGGTCGAAAACACTATCCTTGCTCCTGAAATCACTTGCCCTAACACATCCCCTACTCTTTCTCCATGCCAAAACCCTTCTCTCACATTCTTCCTTTCTATTGCGCGAGCTAAACACGTCCCTATTAATCAAAGTTCTGCAACATATGCCACAGCGCATCTATCCCCTGCTATGGTGTGGCACAGTGAGGGAAATCCTTACTCGCTTCGCACACACTTTGCTTTAGGATTTTGCTCTTCTACTCATATCTATTACATAACATCTCAATGAGTTTTATAAACACTTCACTATTAAGAATCCTAATCTCATATTAAACCACTAATTCATCACTAATAAGTCATTACCCCAAGATTAAAAATTCAGGATGTTACAAAGCAAGTTACAAAAACAACATATACTTACTTGTTTTGGCATTTAGGCTTACCCATGTACCCTCCATTGGGGCACCCTCGACATAATAAAACACCATATATATATAGATATATTCAAGCAAGTTTTCACAACACAATTCACTTTCTCATATCACATACACTTATACATCTTAGTTGGCAACTTAACTCTATCAATATATTATATATTCATTTACACAAATGGTAATCATACCACTACCAATCGAGGCTATTCTCTCCTTACTTCCTTTCCTAGCCTTCTCGTGCTCTCTTAACCTGTGTTTAAAAGTAACGGAGTGAGACTTACATCCCAGTAATTCAGAGGTAACCCTACTTACTGGTTAGTAAGCAAAATTATAAACAATAGATAAAGTAGCATGTTTTTCAGTAAAAACATATCATATGCATATACAGGAATTCATTCTCATCAATCTCATTATGCTTATGCAATGCATTCCTAGTTCTACCTAGTGGAATAATCTCTACACTCGGACTAAGACATCCAGTCATAAGGAATAGGGTCCACCATACTACTGTTCAGACTAGGTAATCCTCATGGCGTATGGGTGGTCTCCTAATTTTGTCATGGTAGAGTTAAACTCTACGCTCTGGATATATAGGACTTCCAGCCTTATATAGAGTAGGACTATCACCCCCACCTACCTTAGTCTAGGGTAACCTCGTAGATCATTCTATATCATAGGTTTATCATATTAGAGACAAGCTCTACACTATGGATCATCGAGATTCTTCTCCTAGATCTGTCCTGGTAAAGTCAGGCTCCATGCTCTAGATCATCAAGACTTCTTAAACCTCCTCATGGCAGGATCGTGTCCCCTTACCATAATCTAGGGTATTCTTATGGATGCGATGCATGGAAATGCACATGCCACTTCAAATTCATTTCAATCAATACTCACACATCTGCATGCATACTCTTTCACAATGCTGCTACTTATCAGTTCACAACACAATGCACATAGTTATATATAAAAATACTTGTAAACAATTTCACAAATAAACAAGTAAAAAGGTTACTCCAATTACCTTTAAACCTTGCGACTAAGGGTTATCAATCAAACTAAGCTCTCAAGGACGTAGACTCTTATGAGCAATGTAACAGGTGCTCAATTTATATACAACACAATACCCCTCAGTCAATTCTCAACATTTCACATAAGCATTGATTCGGCCAAACTACATCCCTTAACCCACACAATGGTCCAATTAATGCCTTTTGAATTCACAAGTCTATTATTTATAGTTATTACCCCTACAAGCTATTCAAATGACTATACAAACCCTCCTAATTCATTTATTCAACTATTTCATCACCCTTTTTAAACCTAACTTTCTTAGGATAAATGAGCTTAAATCATCAAAGGTTAACTATTTAACTCCATACTAGTCAAAAACCTCAGTTCTGTATTTGATAGCCCATTTTAGACCTTTCTTTTGGATTACAACACTTCAAAACTTCATGATTCAATTTCCCAACTGATGAAATTCAATAAAAATGGGAAAGAAATGAAGCTTGGGATTGCATAATACTTTTCCAGTAAGTTACTAATCGAAGAAGACTCCAAACCTCTAGATATGGCGTGCCTTAATAAAGTTGATCTTCTCCACCCCTGTAGATGCGTTTTTTACTCTTCTTCCTTTCTGATTTCACGAGTTGTTCACATCTGCTTTAAGTGATTCCTAGACAATGTGTTTGTGGCTCATATAGCTTCTATTGTGGCACATGGCACAATAAGGCCAATCTCACTTGTGCTTGCATGTTATGCCTCGGATTATCATTCTAAACCCTTCAATCTTACTAATACAACATCCAAACATACAAAATATCAACTCAAACCCAAACAAACTACAATCAATTCACTAATTACTAATTTACCCTTGATTAGCAAACTAGTTCTTGGGATTGAAACTCAAGATGTTTACATTCTAATAGCTCTTCAAGTTGCTTTTTAACTCAACTAACTCTAAGGAGCCATTCTGTAGGGAGCCTTTGAAATTGGTTGTGTTCCCTGTATCAAGTCAATTGAGAACTCAACCTTAAACTCTGGAGGTAATCCTAACACATCCTCTGAAAACACCACCAGGAACTCCCTAACACCTCAATTTCATCACCTTACCTACCTCAAACCCTTGGGTAGCAAGCACTACCATATAAGCCTCACAACCATGCTCAATCAACCTTTCAGCTTGTAAAGAAGAAAGAAAAAAAGAATGACCAAGGTATTCCTCAATCACCTCTAACACTTCCACCAAAGTCACAGTCTTACCTGCACAATCTAAGACAATACTATAAGATAATCAGCCAGTCTATACTGATGATCAAATCAATCCCTTACATAGGAAATTTTATCATGTTCACCCCCCAAGTCGATTGCCCATTAAAAGTCATCTTAGTCCTACATACCATGCTAGATCGATTGACTAAACCAAAAGGAAACTCTATATCATAGGGAAGTTACTCAACAGGCACACCTATTCTATCTACGTGCTTGACAAAATAAAAGAATGTGTCATACAATTAAGTAGAGCTTCTAAATTAAGGCTACAGATGAAAACAGTACTAATTATCAAATTTGATGACTTTTTAGCCTTTCCTGAGATACCGTATATACTCTACTAAGAATCATGTTCCTCTAGTCTGAGCTCTCAAGTAATTTTAGGAAATCATGAATCAAATGGCCTAACTTTTCACATTTAAATCAAGCAAAATAGTGACCAAAATGAAACTTGCCACATCCATCTCAAGGTGACCTTACTGTGCTTAGAATCAAGCCTGATAGGCTTGTGAAGAATGTATTGGAGCATCCTAGAGAAATGGTAATCCCTAGTCCTCAGATTACTACCCTGATTACCTTGAAATCTTAAACCCCTATTGAAATTTCAATTACTAGAAGCAGAAGAAGAACTGGCTCTAAAGGAGCCACTAGAGAAGGACTAGAGCTAAAACCCACTCTCTTAGATACACCACCAATAGGAGCCAACCTAAAAGAAACAAGCCTCTTATATCCCTACTCTGACTACTCTCTGTCACAGCCTCAGCAAGTGACAATCCTTAAATGATTGCACATCTCATCATATATCGTCTTGCCCCAACAAAGACAGCTACTAGTGGTACTTTAGTCTCATTTATTCCCTACAACATATAAGTAATCCACATCACTTATCATAGAAAAGAGCATAAAAGAAAACTATAACTCATACCACTCAACTTAGGTCAATGAGCCATAACCCATCCTAATAGTCTAAATATTAAACTAACCATTCACATAGTACTACTTAACCACCAAAAATATTTATCAGCCACTATTAGGCCAATTTCCTAATCATGCAATTTTTAATCAACCAAAAACCATCACTTGACATTACTACCTTTCACAATTAGCTGGTATAATGAAAATCAAAGCTTAATTTAAATCTTATTAGATTCAAATAGCACAATTATAACTAAATAAATAGGCTCAAACTATTGAAGAGCAAAACCCAATCTCTTGGGGTTTAAACTTGTGCCCAAAACACTCATTTTATCAAATTGCTCACTTAAAATATTATAGCACTATATAAAATCTTAAAATAACCTCCTTAGGACCCAAGAAGCTAAAGCTTACAAGAGTAACCTTTGGGAACAAAATCATGAATTTTCCTCATCCAAAAATTGAAGAAAACCAAAAGGGAAGGAAGATGATTGAAGTAGGGAGCATACCTATCATGTAACCAAGCTCGCAACCACCACAAAGCCGCCTTCTAGATCAGAGCCCTAGCTCCCTCCCTTTTGGTCTCTCTTTGTTCCTTGCTCTTTGCTCTCTCGATTCTTTTCTTTGTTTCTATGCATTTTTTGCATTCATTTCCTCTTAAAAAAACTGAACTAAAACACATGGGAAAAATTACAAGGAAGGGCCCAATCTTTTTTTTATATCACAAAAGGCTAAGGCAACTTTGGTAATTTTTCCCATTGTTAAGAAACAAAATAAAATCAACTTTTGTGAGGTAAAATTCAAACTCTAGACCTTTATCAAATTATTCTTAATTTTAATTGAATTATTTATATTCTATTTATTTTTATTAATTTGGGTCTTTAAAAATTTTTTGGGATGTTATAGACTGTGTATCCAAGCTTGTTATTCGTTCTGATAAAGCCTTTCTAAATTTAAATCTAAATTTAAATTTATCATTTCTATAAATTCTCTAAATGTATTTTACCTAATTGTGCATTACCTAAAAATTGTTTATTCTATGAGCAATACAAATCTTGGTAAATTTATATTGTTCTATTAGTATTAGTTAATTTCACATCTATATTATTGAAATTAAAATCATTATTTATTATTAGTTCAAATATTTTCATTATTTCATAAAATTATTTTAGATAAATTTATTAGTTCTATCTTCATAATTGTTTTAATCATAATTCTAATTGGAATACTACTCACCATAAATTCTTTTGGTCTCAAATATTTCAACTGACCTTGCGTCTCTCGCGAATCACTGAAAGACCCTCTTGTTTCTCTTTAGAAAGAAGAAGCACACTACAATTATCCTTTTTGGCGAACTACATATGATATTATACAGTTAGAAATTAGTGCTCCACGTACGCCGTAATTAAATCCTAGTTTTATTTTGTTGATATGTAATTTGTTGGTCTAAAGCTAGTCCTCTTGTTGGTTTGGCTAACAGGTTTGCTACTGTAGAGATTTTAGGAGGTTCAAATTACAAGGGAGACTCTATTAAAATTTCTACAAACATTAAAACTTTATGAACTTTTTTATATATAACTTATATATCAATATTTTAGTTTAACCTCTGAGTAATCACAGCTATGGAATATGAGTCACCTTATATTTTATGCCGGTCGTACCTTTAGTATTAAGGTGTGACAATATTTCCTATATATCTATTGATGAGGAGCAAAGCTCTCTATTGTTATTTTGTATTGAAAATTGTTGATGTAAAATTGTTAGGAGGTCTTATTTTCAGGGAAGGTTTTGTCGAAATTTCTAAGCTCATTCATGACTTTTTTTAATTTACACACACACGCGCGTTGAAAAATTTCTATTATATTTTGTATGATAAATGGATTATTGATAAAAAATTAAATCTTTCCTATATCAAGGCTTAAGGGATGTGAGGTCTCATGCATATCTCATGCCCGGTCACACTTTAATTTTGAGACGTGGTAGATTTATCCTTATTAAATGTATCAAATTTAGAAACACTTTCTCTTTCATTGTTAACATTTTACTATATTCATACAAAATTGTGAAAGGGTAAAATTGGATAAAGTAATCAACAGTCCATCTTTTTATACAAAGTGATTTATAAAAAATAACTATATCATTTTTTCTCCATCCAAGCAGAAGAATTAAGGCTTTTACAATAATAACCAAAGGGATTCCATATATGTTGTTATCATGTCAACGGACAAAAGGTTCATATAACCAATGGGTAAGACATCAAAAATTGAACTTTTACATTATCGGTACAGGCCTAGTGAGCCAATCAATTAGTGTAACTGTTTACCGATCTCTAAAGACATGCTCAATATTTGACAATCCTTAAGCATATAAACTCTTATGAACTAAATGATTTCTTTAATTGTCATGATGGACACTAACCTAAAGTTAATTTAATCCATATGAATATAAACTTGAAAGATATATACAAGCTTTAATTTACTAACGACTTATAATATTGAGTTATAAAAATTAATAAATGAGGCATCACCTTTTCAAATAAGCCCATCCACACACTTTTTTGACTGAAAATGTAGTTTGCAGAATCTTCTTCGCCATTATTTGAGTTTAAAAGACAAATAAAAAGAATAACCACCCCATTCCATTCTTCCCAATTAAATTATGTTTTATAGTTCGTCATTTGACAAAATTCTCATATTTCTCACGCAATATAATTACGATTCTAGCCTATATTCATCATGCAACGCATAGCTCATATATTAAGTTTTCAAATCTTTCGCTTTTTTTCCATGCTGAGATGAAAATAATATCACAAGTGTCAAGAGGTAAGTCATGGGCTAATTAATCCACAGGTCAAATTTAAAATCGCAACATGGCTAAAAATTTGGTACTAAATTTTATTTATTTTTCTTACCAATTTTTGGCAAGCCTAAGTTTATCCTTTTTAGCAACCTTGTCAAGAGAAGTTAAAAATTCATCAAATTCTTGATTACAACATCGCGTTTGTTAAATCAGAATTTACAAATGTATGCAATCCTTTGTTGCTCACAAAGGCTCATCAACCATGTCATAAATATAACAATTATTACCCAATTTTTCTTCCATGTTTGGTGAAAAAATATGCATTCATCATACAAGTAATGTGCCAAGCATGTTTATGAATGGAAATATAACATAAATTGAAATAGAGCAATGCTTATTTAATGATGTCGATGATGCTACTATTGCAAAATCATGTTCTTCGTCTTGTTTAATGAAACTACAACATCTGTCATGTTGCTTCGCATTTTAGGAAAATCAGTGCAACAATTTAATGCCAATTCAAAAATACAAGATGTAAAAGTTAATATATCACCTATATATTGTTCATCTCCTTCCAATAAATTGGAATCTATGACATTAATGATTTCATGTGGCATTGAGTCACTTACCCAACTCTTCAAGTTCAATCCTGAGGTGAACATGTCTTCTGTTGGTTTTTTTCTTGTGAACACTTCTAGTAATATAATTCCAAAGCTATCTACATCTACTTTTGTGGAAACAATTCCAATAGATTCCATATTCTGAATTGGATTCAAGCACCAAAAATCAATTTCTCTCTCATAATCAAATTTTTACAAAACTAGAATAAATTAAAAATACTCAAAAAACCAATAATTTATATTGGTGTTTCTTGTGGTAATCATTATACTATTATTTTTTATACATCAATACAACAAGGCAATACTTGAAAGACTTGTTTTCACATCCAAAAAAAATCATAGAAAATTTTCCACGTTGCAATAGAGTTTTTTTTTTTTTTTTTGAATATATGGGCATGTGTATGCTAGAGAAAGTACATGCTATAATGATTTGCATTCCCCTCTCACATATCATATACATACACATAAAAATAATTAAAAAATTATGAACCTCTTTTTGGGAGAAATATAAATTTGAGAGTACTTTTCTCTATAGAATAATTTAGAAGAAATGCTTTCAAGTATTTATTGACAGGTGACTTTAATGCCACGTGAATCATCATTGAGCTTCTTATCTATGCATACTGAATCAAGAAGATCTAATGCTTTTGTGGACACAATTGTATTATTGCTCATAGAAAGTAATGGATATTTTATAGATTAATTTTCTATGATATTGCTTTAAATAACAATTGATAGTGTGAAAAGATTTCATATGTATCATTTATGATGAAAATTAAGAAAGGAAAGCATTCTAAAAATAAAAACAGCAAAGAACATGATGAAGATGGGTTTTAGAATCATACCAGGTGCATATATCCGATCGTAGGTATTGTCTCTGTATGTGTTTTAGATTTCCCTTCATCTAAAAGTTTGAAAATCCCAAAGTCACTCACATGAGCAACCATATCATTGTCCAACAAATGTTACTTGGCTTTAAATCACAATGAACTACCGATTCTGATAAGCCATGATGGAGATATTCCAAAGCAGATGCTACATTTATCATTACATTCAGCCTTTGGAAAAAATCCAAATAATAGTTATGAGAATATAACCATTTTTCAAGGCTCCCTTTAGGCATGAACTCCATTATCAAACACTTGAAATCAATATGGAACAACTACTTATAATCTTCACCAAATTCTAATGGCGCACATTACGCATTGTGTTGCATTCTACTTCAAAGCTCCTTGACATTTTTCAGAATCAAAATTAAATACTTTAATCGCAACCATCATCCCATTCAAAAGCTTTCCTTTGAAAACATCACCATAACTCCCCTTTCCAAGAAGGTTACTCTCATCAAATCCATTAGTTGCTTCTAGAATTTCAAAATAAGAAATCCTTCTTGGCCCTCCTAAAATAATGAACCCCTCTCAATCGGTTCCCTTAAATTTGATTGTCTATTTCTTAAAAGGATAATGCCCAAGACAATTAAAATTATTGACAATACCATTGGTAATATGCATTTTATTAAAAGTGATTTTGCCCATGACCATTTTCTTCTTGCTTTTTCACAACGAGGCACTTTTAGTTGTGGATTGACCACAAAGAGCTTCATTCATCATGAAAGATTCAGCAGTCAAAATTTTTAAAAACTCCACCACTTGGAATCTCACCTTGTAGTTTGTTATAGGAGAGATTGATATACTTAAGATAAGTAAGTGACTCCAAGGATTTAGGGATCTCACCAGATAAATTATTCTCAGAAAGGTCCAATTTACTAAGCTCAGCATATTTAGAAATGATTCAGGAATCTTTCCTTGCAAATTGTTATGTGCCAAGGAGAGATCTTGCAAGTTCTTCAAGCCACCCAGAGTTTGTTGGAATAATGCCTGAAAATATGATTTCTTGACAAATCTAGTAATATAATAGCATTTAGTTTCCAATCTTTATGACATATTTCCAAACTAAAATATTGGAAGATAAGTCTACTATCAATAAATCCTTTCAAATTCCAAAAGGAAGAAGGTATTTTTGAAATTAACTTATTAGAGCCCAAGTAACGTTCTCGTAAAGAAGTAAGATTTGCTAAACAAGGTGGTATTCCTCCAGAGAATTGTTTCTGCTTAAAGATAAGTAGGCAAGCTTCGGGATTTCACAAATCTCTATTAATGATTATGCCATGTAGCTCGTTGTATTGCAAGTTCAAAGATTGAAGATCCTGTAAGCTACCAATTGCTTTTGGAATTGATCCCTATAAAATTATTTTCTCCCAAACCTAGGTTAAAAGAAACTAGTGAGATTCCCAAAATTTGATGGAAGACTACCGGATATAGAATTGCTTTCAAGCTCTAAATTTTTCAAAGTTGAAATGTTAAAAATGCTAGATGGCATAGATCCACTCAACTTGTTATATGACAATTCTAAGGTCTCAAGCTTATGAAGATTGCCTATTTCCATCGGTATTAAACCTTATTAAAAGATTAATTTTAATGAAGTTATTTGCAGTGAATAATAAAAAATAGCAATAAGACAAATATCTGACAAATGAGATGTATCATTGTTGATACTCCTTGTTTGTTATAGGAGAGATTGATATACTTAAGATAAGTAAGTGACTCCAAGGATTTAGGGATCTCACCAGATAAATTATTCTCAGAAAGGTCCAAATTTACTAAGCTCAGCATATTTAGAAATGATTCAGGAATATTTCCTTGCAAATTGTTATGTGCCAAGGAGAGATCTTGCAAGTTCTTCAAGCCACCCAGAGTTGTTGGAATAATGCCTGAAATATGATTTCTTGACAAATCTAGTAATATAATAGCATTTAAGTTTCCAATCTTTAATGACATATTTCCAACTAAAATATTGGAAGATAAGTCTACTATCAATAAATCCTTCAAATTCCAAAAGGAAGAAGGTATTTTTGAAATTAACTTATTAGAGCCCAAGTAAAGTTCTCGTAAAGAAGTAAGATTTGCTAAACAAGGTGGTATTCCTCCAGAGAACTTGTTTCTGCTTAAAGATAAGTAGGCAAGCTTCGGGATTTCACAAATCTCATTAATGATTATGCCATGTAGCTCGTTGTATTGCAAGTTCAAAGATTGAAGATCCTGTAAGCTACCAATTGCTTTTGGAATTGATCCTATAAAATTATTTTCTCCCAAACCTAGGTTAAAGAAACTAGTGAGATTCCCAAAATTTGATGGAAGACTACCGGATATAGAATTGCTTTCAAGCTCTAAATTTTTCAAAGTTGAAATGTTAAAAATGCTAGATGGCATAGATCCACTCAACTTGTTATATGACAATTCTAAGGTCTCAAGCTTATGAAGATTGCCTATTTCCATCGGTATTAAACCTGTATTAAAAAGATTAATTTTAATGAAGTTATTTGCAGTGAATAATAAAAATAGCAAATAAGACAAATATCTGACAAATGAGATGTATCATTGTTGATACTCCTTTTTTATATCAAGTCATTCAAATTCTGCATCAGATTTTACCTTTCTCCCCACAAAAACGCACGCACTAACAAGATGACCATAGTTGACCATTGTAATCTAAATATAAAAATTAAATAATACTCTTGTTTTTTTATGACTTAAACGTGCATCTACTCCACCATTTATAGTTAAAATTGAGAAAACTTATTAAAATTTAAAATTTAAATGTTCGATTTCAAATATCGCAATCTCTTACACAATATCTTTGCAATGTGGTAACAAACAAATAAAAAAATTAATAATTAATGTTGTTTCTGATTTTACACAAAATGAAAAACATGTGAACTTGAAAAAAAGGATTGGATATTTTTTTAAACTGTTAAAACATGTCTACAATGTTTAGGTTTGTAGGATCACCAATTTTGTGACGAATAGTTCTCATAATTTAGCAACAGATAAAATAAACATATATACAATGCTTATGATTTGTTGAATGAATACCTTCCAAGTTGTTGGAATTCAAATATAACTCTTGAAGCATGGTCAAGTTTCCAATACTTTTTGGTATATGGCCTGAAAGAAGATTGACACATATAGGCATAAGGGGCATTACATTAATTAAAGCACAAATTGTCTAATGCTATTTAGAAATCACAACTTGTTAGGCATAAGATATTTCCAACATTTTCATTCATTTTAAGAAAATACTATTACATTGTTAACTTTGTTAAATGTCCAAAGATTCTAGTTTTACCACATTCTTCTTTTGATACTGTAGTTTTACCTTTTAAAATAAAGGAATTATTGTAGAACAAAGGAAATTGAATAATTTTTTTTAGATAAATAATACTCATCGGGCATGTATGCCTCAGCCCAAGTAGCCCAGTATTCTAATATGAGTTAACATATGGTATCATAAGTTAAGGCCCATCATCATCATCATATAAATTTTTGGCCAATAGATATTGTATGGCAATAAGACCAAGTAGTTTGCTAAAATTTTGGGGTGATAGCGCTTGAGCTAATAGCTTGAGCTCACTCCAAAACAACTTATATGATGACATCATGATTTTTGGTATTGAAGATCATAATTTTTAAATTTCTGTGATCTTCAGTTTCATTAAGAATATCTCTAACATATTCTTGTAAAAGAACAAATGAAAATGAAAATAAAACAGGCAATGTTTTTATTTAAAATGATGCAAAGAAAATCATTTAAGACAAATATGGGTAGTAATGCACGGGCTATTGAACTTTTATTTATTTATTATTTATACTTTTCTAAACACAAGTTTGATAGGGCCTACTTATCTATTTATTATGAATATCATTTGACAAGTTCAAAAGAGAATTTCATTTACATAAAAGTGAAAAAATAAAAATAAAATATTTTCATTCTCCCTTCTTCTACTCTCCCTCTTTCTTTCTAATACATGGCAAAGCTTTTCAATTATTACCTGATTTGACCCATGTATTTGCAAGATATGGAATTGTACTTACAAACAAAACAGAAAATTAGATATATAGAAAATTATTTTGATCAAAATATGTCAATGAGGTTCATATATACAAGGGTACGATCAGATAGTGTCTTTTAATATGTTTTGTAGACATTGTGTTTTAAAGTTTAGGTTCATATAATAGGGTATGTAATATGTTTGCCATATGTATGAGGAAGGAAGATAGAGACGGAGAAGTTGGCTGCGAACCGACGCAAGCCTTTAAGAAAACAGAATTTTAAAAATTATATAAATTAATATATATTAATAACAATAATATCAAAATTTTATTTTACTATATATATTTTTTCTAAAACATGTTTGATACGGGCTCTTGAAATTTTGTTTATTTTTATAAATATAAATTAAATTGTCAAGCTAGATTTTCGTTTAAATGAAAATAAGAGACAACGAAGTCCAATTTGTTTTATTATTTTGATCAATACCAATGTCAAATGCATAAAAGGGCAATCAGAATATATTTGATAAGATTGAATTTAGAGATTTGACAGTGAGTAGTACATACCTGTGAACAAGTTGTAATTTAATGTTATTATTTCCAGCTCCTTGCATTGTGTCCAGCCAGATGGTATAGCATTAAATAATTTGTTCTCTTGAAGAGCCAAATTTTGCAAATTTGGAATCCCATTACATATATCAGAAGGAATGTCTCCCGACAAATTATTCCAACTTAAATCAATCTTTCGCAACTCAGATATATTAAAGATGGTTGATGGTATTTGGGCAGAAAACTTATTGCCGCCAAAATATAAAATTTCCAGACTTTTAAGATTACCAATCTCTTTGGGAATATCTCCTACAATGTTATACAAAAAGACCCATCAAATTTATTGTACTCGATCAAAATATAGCTCTTGAAGTTGAAAATAAAATAGTAAAGAAAAATGTAAGGTAACTTTTAAAACTATTAACAACTTATTCTTTCTCAGTTTTTGAATTAGGATACTACACAAGAAGTATAAATCCAATTTGTTGACTCTTTCGTTTATGAGCTTGACCCCAATATTGGCCTTTGCTAATAATGAATTTAATATTTTAACTAAAAAAGTTTTATAAAAGAAAGTTGTGAAATAAAAAGAGAAAATGTTATGACGAACACTCTTGGACCGCAAGTTTTAAATAAATAATTTTTGTCATAACAACTTTTGGTCCGTGCAGTGTTGGCAAATAACAACTTGAGGCTATTAGACTGAAATAATTTTTTTTTTTATGAAAAGACTGAAAGAATTTTACTAACACGATGACAGTTTGAGATTAATTTCGTAGACAATATATATGTCGCTCGTATTTTTAAATTTTGATTATTTGCTTTTGGTATATAGAAATCCCTCATTGTCAACAAAAATGGGCATTGAAATTCACATATTATTTTTTTTTGGTGAATTCACATATTCAGTTTTAGACTAATGGAATTTCTCAAGAAGGTGACACTGACATACTTTAACATATATATATATATATATATAAACAAATTTCAAATATTGTGTCTCCATATGAAATATTCAAATTTATATCTACCATAAAACAAATTAGAATCATAAATTTAGCAAACAAGTTAAAGAATTAACTTGTAGGGCATAGGCTTAGATTCATTTTAAGGAGTCCAAATTAAAATTATAATAATGTTGTATCAAAGAAAAATATTCTATAAATCAACAAAATAATTTCAATTCAGACAAACTTTATTAAAAAATTTATATATTCAATGTCATCACACAATTCTTTTTCTTTGATTGTACCCCAAAACATAGATATATTAATGAGGGAAAGAGATGTTGCCAGTATTTAAAAAAGTGATGATGTGGAGAATGAAAAAGGAGTTGCTTACAAGAACAAAGACAAAACAACCCATAATCTATTCGTTCGATAGCTCTAATCTCTCTATGAAGAGAGTTAAAAGAAAAATCTTCATGAAAATAAGTGCGCAAAATAAAGAAGAAAATTTGAAAACTATTGAGAGACGCAAACGAAAAGAGCATGAATGGAGTAGAAAGGGCAAATCTTCGTGGAATTAATAATAGTATTATATGCTTACCTCTGTTTTCTAGGCCAAAAAATTAGGTAAACAGAGTAACACTTTTATATTTGTTGGACACCAAAGTGTTGTAAATTGCACAACAATGTGAGCCATAATTCTGAATATGTAGTTGAGGGATCTAAAGTATAATGATCAAAGATAGTGAAGACATAAATGTAAATAAAGGCAATTCCATCAAGAGCACGAGATGTACAAAAGGTAGAAAGCAAGACAAAGAAAGCCAAAATGATCAACGAGACAAAAAGGGAAAACAAATGTTTCTAATGATGCTGATAAATTTATTTAGAAAGGTGAAAAATATTAAAATTATGTTTTGCATGGAATATGCCTTGTAAATTATTCATATTGAAGCCCAACACCTGGAGCATATTCAAAATCTCAATTTCTCTTGGTATGTGCCAAACAAGATATTAGCACCCAAGTGCAGTATTTTCAGGCTTGTAAAATTACTAATTGATTTGGTAATATCTCTTGCAGTAATCATGACAACCTAAAAAAAAAAACATTATGATTCGTGATGTGTACAAAATCATATTAAACAAAAATTAAGTAACAATTTTTGAAAGCATTATTTCTAAAAATATTATTTATTCTTAGATGTTTTCGATACATGACCATGCATTGCAGATCATACAGATGCAACTTATGTGATAGGCGTCCTCCCTAGAGAGTGAGGGATGCTTTAATTTGGATGTGGTCCCCTTTTCCCTATTCCCCTCAATATACGTTTGTGGAGTATTAATTGAATCAAAAATAAAAAATTCTAATAAATACTTTTCGAGGCATTAAAATTGTAATTAAGTTTGAAGCAAAAAAAAAACGGGTAGAAATTAATTTAAACTAAAAAACGGGAGAAATTTTATTAACACACAGCTTCACTGCACAATTATTCTTATATTTTGTTTTTCACAAACTGGTTTTTCAAAGATGTAAAAACCTTCTTGAAGCATGTTCTAATTAAATCACCATGAGTTAATTGAATAATGATTGTCAAGGCATTATTCTTACACATAATTGATTTTTCCTGGAAATATAATTTCTTGCCATATGCATAGTAATTGAAAAAAAAAAAACAGAGAGAGCTCATTTTAGTATGGATGCATGATAAGCTATCGTAAAAACAAAAATGAGTAGCAGTTACATATTTTGTTAAAGAAGTGCTTTGATTCAATGAAAATAAGATAAAGGTTTCCCATTTTATCTAAGAAAGAAATGTATCCCAAAGCATATATAATACCACAAGATAGACTAAAGTACAGGAAATTTGAATATAAAAATTGGAACGTAGTCTTGTCATTTTTTTTTTTTTCAACAATTCGCTAGATAGATGCATGAAGAAAAGATAATATAACTAGATAGATGGCAAAAAAATATGTAAGCTTCGTGTATGATATATATACAAGTTAGACACTAAATTAAACTTTTTTAAGAATATTATACTTCATTTTTAAAACATTCAAATCTAACTAAAAAATAAGTATGGCTTTTTTGGGTTTTATACAGGGAGAATGACAAATAGTTCCTAAGATGACCAATTAATTCAAATTAGGCCCCAAGTACCAAACTTTAGAAATTTGTAAGTTTAGCTCTCAATTTTACAACTTGGTTGTGATGATTTTACAACTTGTGTTCCAAATTTTAGCACAAAAAAAAATTTGTTTAATCTTCAATCATGTTAAAATTTAGACAAACAAATTGTAAATTTATCACAATGAAGTTGCAAAATTGAGAGCCAAATTTGTAAATTCTTAGAATTTGATACTTGAGACCTAATTTGAACTCACAGTATTAAAAAAAAGTGATGATGTGGGGAAAAAAAAAGAAGTCAACAAAAGAAGATAACCAAAAATGTTAAAGGAGAAGTAGAGATAGAGCTACAAAGACATAGACAATCCATACTATGTTAGTTCAATATCTCTCATCTCTATGTGGATAATGAAAACGGAAATCTTCATGGAATTGTGATAATAAAGATGCAAACTTATGCAAACACCTACAATAAACTCATAACTGACTATGCTTTTAAACCTGAAGGCCTTTGGAGTATATAGGTGCAGAATTTTATGGTTATAAAACAAGTTAACAACAATCAAGATATTATTTTATTTTTTTAATATGTCTCTGTATATTTTTACATTATAGCACTTCAACATGTTTAAACTTTAAGTAGGTGTTAAATGTTTAAAATTTTAAATTTAAGTAATTTAAAAAAATCTGTTACATATCTATCAAGATATTACGTGCTTGTTTTGTATTGAACTTTTCTTGGGTATTGAAAAATTTACTAAACGATATAAAAAATATTGAAGGATTTAAAAAGTTTTAGGAAGCTCAACAAAATATGCAGAGAAATATTAAATAATAAAGAATGATATAAAAACTAGTGGATCAGTATCTTCTATAATTTTGGGTTATATACGAGGCACAATAAAACTTATAAAAATTAACACAAATATAAAAATAACCTGGATAAGTCACACTTATTTTTAGTAGGATTTAAATGTTGGAAGAACAATATTCTATAAATTTGTAATTTAGTATCTAGTTATAATTTTTTAAACTGTATTTACACTGTGATATTTTCTTATAAGATTGTATACGAAAAGGTATAAAATGGGGAAGTGGGAATAAAAATAAATGTTGTGAAGGAAGTTAACTTGAGAGCTTTTAGGTTTACGGCCCATTTGTTTTACCTTATTTTATGAAAGAAATCAATTATTTTAAAAAAAATCCATTTTGTGATTTTTAATATGTTTATTTAAACTTTTAAAAATAATTAGAATAAAAAAAAGCATATTTCTGATTATTTTGGAAAACTACTTTGAGTAGCTTTTGAAAATAATTTGATATAATATATGAAAGATAATATCTTAAAAATGCGGGATACACGAAGATATCTTAAAATTTTAAAATAATTAAATAGTAAATCACCTTTACAAACAGAAATCAAGAAAGCTATCATGAAATTTAAAAATAACTAATTACTAACCATTTTTAATTTTGCTACGCTATAATGAATTTATTAGTGTTGCCATTTCCCTCCCAGTTTAAGTTTGTAGATTTGATTGAATCAAAATTTTATTATCATAATAAAAAATATACTCATATATACCTCTCAAGGAATGAAAATTGTAATCATGATTGAAGTAATAAAAACGGTAGAAATAAATTTAAACTAAAAAATAAATTTTATTGACATTGCTTCCCCGCTCATTCTTATATTTGTTTTATAAAATATGTTTTACAAACATGTAGAAACCTTCTTGAGACATGTTCTAATTAGCATTAGTTAATTGAATAATAGTCAAGGTGTAATATTATAATGCTAAAAGACTCAATGGGTAGTAAAACTTAGGGAGAATGACTTAAAAAAAAAAAAAAACTCCTGAAATATGCAAATGACAAATAAGTACTGTAAAAACATGTTAATTATATCATGTAGTCCCTAGAAACTTGTCTGACATTTTGTTTTTGAAAATGATATATTTACCCCCAATTTAAAATTTGCAAAGAAGGCACTTGTTGTGTGTGGTCCCCTTTTCCAATTTTCTTATTCCATTTTCATATAATAATAGCATTTAACATGATAATAAAATTAGAAACTCATATAAATGCCTCCACATATTTGGTCTATATTAGTTAAGAAATTAAAGGCAGCTGATCATTTAATATTGCCAATATCCTCTAAACACACATGAAGTATCATTTCTATTGACAAATGGAAGCCAAAACACTTTCAGCAAAAGGTTTTAACGCTCTTGGACCCAATTAGGAAGTTGCAAAAGGCAAATAGAGTCTGTTAGACTGAAAGAATTTTATTAGCACAATGAGATCATATTTGTCATTTTCATAGGTAATTGACAAGGTTTTAAAAACTAAACTGGTCATTGAACAGAACAAGACATTGGTTTAAGGGTCACTGCACTGTCAAACTATGGTTAAACTGATTATAATTAATTTAATATATTTTTTATTTTAGATGTTAGGTTTTATACTAGAAATAAAATTTTACAAAATATTACAAGGTTCACTGAAAAAAATAAAAAAGTTTAGGAGTGAGAGGATATTTTCTCTTTAATTAGTAAAGAAACTCATCTTAAGTGTTAAAAATTACTCTAAAGCTGTTTAGTTTTTAAGAGAACAAATTTATTATGTGCAAAAAATGACAAAGCACGAGACACTTTTAGAAGATTTATTAATTATAAATTAAAATTATATTTTTTAATAATTAAGTTCACATTAAAAAAATAATGCAAGATTTAAGTAAACTAAAACCGGTTCGGTTTTGGTGATTGTTGACTGATTTTATTGGTTTTGAATTGGCTAGTTTTTTAGGTTATACTGTACTGGACATGGAGCTAATTCTCGATCCAACTAGTTGAACTGGCTGGTCTAATTTTTAAAAATTGGAGTTATTGATCTCGTATAAAGTAACAAATTTCATAAAAAAAATTTATACATGTTACTTGTATTTTAAAATTTTGATTATTTGCTTTTGAAATATATAAATCCTTCATTGTCAAGGAAAATAGACATTGAAATTCACATATTCAATTTTTTTGGTGGAAGCTCGAATTCAATTTTAGATAAAAAGAATTTTCAAGATGATATTATTCATTGGACAAAGTAAAAACTACGGGATTAAGTAATAAATTTAAACTTGTTATATGTCTGGCCATTTTTTTTAAATCAATGACAAGAAATTAAAACCAAAAGAAAAGTGTTTGATGGATAATGAAGATAGATAAGTGACATTGAAAAAAAAGAAAAAAAATGTCTTTTTTGCATTAACTTTACTAAAAGATATTAAAAAATATTAAATGATCAACAGAAAAAAGTTTAGGATGTTCCATAAAATATTAAAGAATAAGAAGTGTGGCTTGTGGCCGGAGCAACTTTTGTAATTCTTAAAAACAAATATGAAGCTTTTAAAATGAAATAAATTTTCTTATGCGTATGTTGTTATATAAAAATAAAAATTCTCTATCACATGCATCTTTAGAATAAGCTTTTAATCTCGTGTTGAGAAATATTTATCATTTATATAACACCTGATGACATAACAATATGTAAAAAATATCAATAATAAAATATAGCACAGAGATAAGATCTGACTAATGTATCTATCTTAAATAAATATATTTAATTATCACAATTATATCATGCAATCAAAGAATAATAATTAGTTTGGCATAAAAACTAAGAATGATAATTAGATTTATCAACAACATTAATAATTAGTCATATTGCCATGCATGAAGTTTGAACCCTTGAAGCATAATCTAATTTTCAATGGTTCTTGGTATGCAACTACAAAGTTGATTAACACTAAAATAAAGGGTTATAGGGCAAAAATATACATAAACTTTTTTTTGAGAGGCACCCAGTATTCTTAAGTGAAGGAGGGTCCAAAAACACCTCTAACATTGATGAAGTGGGTGCAAGAGTGCCTAAATCGTTAAATTTGACTAACGTTCATTAACATTGACCTTTAAAAAAAGGAAGCAAACTTGAAGTGCAAAAATACTCATAAACTTTTTATCTATGAGCTTTTAATATTGTTAAGTCAATAATGGTGCATGGGGTACCTATCAACTATATAAAAGATGCTATATAGCCAAGCTTAGCTCTAACAACTCAAGCTTTCAAACTTATTCAAGCAATCCAAAATACCCAAATTAAAAATATTATTTTATTTTATTTTTTATTTTTTTAGTCAATTTCAATTTTTTTCTAATTTTAATTTTATTTTATTAATAATAAAAAAGAATTCAGGTATTCAAGATAAATCCATTTAGGTTGGGCTTTGCCCGGATTAATGGGCCAACCTTATCCAATCCATTACATTTTATTCTTAAAACTTCACAGTCAATATCAAGTTATTTTAATGGATTGGGAAAGGTTAGATATGATAATTTGGGTCAAGCCTGACATGGCAGCCTGAATAAGCCCGAAAAATCTTAATATCAACCTTGGGAGTTTAGAAAATTTTCTTTACTTCAAGGTTAATCAAGCTATCTGAATAAGCTTGAACAAATCCAGGCCAAGCCCATACCTAAATTCTTTTCTACTATTAATAAAATAAAATTAAAATTAGATAAAAATTGAAAAATATTAATTTTTAAGATAAAATTGAAATTGACTAAAAAATAAAATAATATTTTATAATTCAAGGATTCAAGTCAGGTTGAATAAGCCTGAAAGCCTAAGTTGTTATTGTTAAGCTTGGCTATATAGCCTCTTTTATAGAGTTAATGGGTACCCATGCACCATTGTTGACTTAAGGATACCAAAAGCTCCTAGTTAAAATGTTTATCGGTATTTTTGCTCCTTATGTTTGCTTCTTATTTTTATAACAGTCAACAATTATGGATGTTAGTCAAATTTAACAATTTGGACACTTTTGCACCTACTTCATCAATGTTAGCAGTTTGCAACTTCTTTCACTTAAGGATTACTAGAAGCCCTTGGAGGGTAAGTTCATTTGTATTTTTGCCCCTTGACCCCTTAAATAAATTATGTTCAAATTTTTCAAATCACTAATTGAGAATACTTACTAGATTATAAAGTTTATGAGCACTTTGAAAATTTGAAAGATAGTTTATCTTATATAGAAATAAATAATTTTTGACAGAACTAAGATACTTTTAGTTTGAAATTTGACTATTGTCTTTTGAAATAAATTAATCCGGCAATGTCAGCAAAATAAACTCATTTAGCATTATAAATATGTTTGTAGCTTACCTAAACACACAAAAATAATACAAAACTAATTGAATGTTGCACATTATGATTAGTTGAAATGATACCTTCAAAGTTATTGTGATCAAGCTCTAGTTTTTGAAGTTTTGTCAAGTTTCCAATGCTTCTTGGTATAATGCCCGACAACATATTAACACTTAAGTATATAAATTTCAAATTTGTAAGAGTACTGATTGTCTTGGGAATATCTCCTGCAAGATGGTTATAAGAAAACCACATTATTGCTCCATGTATAAAATGATCATAATAAAAGAAAAATAAGAAACAAATATAATTTTTGAATTCATTGTTTTGAAGTTATTGTGATCAAGTTGCAACTCTTGAAAAAGAAAGTAAGAAAGAAGATAAAGCTCTTCAACACGAACAGAAAAATGAAAAAAGAAGAAAATTGATGTATCTTGATAAGCATCCATTAATATGAATTGTGTTTAGCGTGACCAATCAAATGCTCACATGCAAAGGGTTTTGTCCAAGTCTTTGCAGCATAACAGGGCTAAATATATTAAGAAAGTCAGATATTTTTCATCATATTATGAATAAATAAGGTTTTTATATTAATTGATATGAATAAAATTAGTCAAAACCCTTACAGCACCCAAATTGATTAGAGAAATAGTGAAACATTAATTATTGTTTCATTGCTTGAATAGCTATATGCATATATTTAAACATCTGGAGCCCTATACAGTTATTTTTAAAGAGCATATATAGGAACCTTATATTATAAGAAAACAGTGATTTTCTCACAGAATTTTCTCTCAGAATAAATATTGGAAAGAAGTTCTCTCAAAATTTTTCTCAAAAAGCCTCTTCTAAAAAGTTAATTATGAAATTTCTCACGGAAACCGAAATAGTGAGAAATTCTGAGAGAATGATGTGAGAAAATTAGAGAGAAAAAAGCCCATTTCAATGCAGGAAAATTTTCTCTCAGTTTAATCTGTGAGAAATGTTTGACAAAAATAAAAAATTGATAATGAAAATAATAAAAATAAAAACTCATTAAGTTTCTCTCTAATTTTTTTGAGAGAAGATTTCTCTCAAAAAAATCAAGGAGAATTTAAAGAGTTCTCTCCAATAATAATGAGAGAAATGTTCTCTCAAACAAAGTCAAAGGGAATTTTCTCTCAAATTAAGTCAACAGAAATATTCTCAGCTTTTTTCGAGAGAAAATTTCTCTCAAAGCAATCGAAGAGAATTTCTCTTAGATTAAGTCGAGAGAAATGTTTTTCTCAGAATAAGCTGTGAGAAAAGTGTTTCTCGAATTATTTAAATTTTTCTCTTAAAACAACTTAAGAGGAATTTTAAAATTTCTCTCAAAATTTATCATGAGAAAATTTCAAATTTCTCTCATATTTTTCTAAGAGAAACTATAAAATAGATATTATATATATTATTACTTATTCAATACTCATATTATATATATTATTGAATGAGATGGTCCAAAATGTGACAAAAGTAATTGTAAACCAAGAGGGGGCAGACACTAATAGGGATTAGGCCTAATATTACGATATGACAAACCAAAGTTTGAATCACTACTCAAACCTATGTTAGATACTTGTATGTAATAAAAAAACAACAGAGAGTAGATGTCGAAAACATAAAATATACATGATTATGATTTATATAATAATATCAATATTAATTTATCATACATTAACTGACATCTATAGCATATAAGTTTGCTAAAAAAATTATCTATAGAATTAAATTGCATTATATTTCACTTTTTCAATTGAGAAAAATTATCTATATAATTGTATATATAATATAACTTATGTAGTTTTAAAATATACAAAATTAAGTGACTCTAATAAAAAATATTAAGTTGTAGCCTTATTGATTGCAATAATAACCTGCAAGCATATTGTTTTAGTTCACATTTTTGATAGGCTTGCTAAACAATTTTTTTCTCTTTTGTATGCAAAAAATTTTGGGAACTTATTGAGTAAAAATATTTTGTCAAAATTTCTCTTTGGTGATGATAAATTGTTACTACTAAAAGTTTTTTCCTCAAAAAAATAAAAATTTACAAGTAATTATAAATTATATTAAATAATTTTATAAAATATTTTTAAAATAATTAAAAACTAAAATTGGAAAATATAAAATTAAAAATAAAGTATACAAATTAAAAAATATTTAAAAATTAATATAATTTAATTTTAAATCAAATTAAATTATACAATATATTATAAAATTACTGATTAAATGATTAAAAAAATTTGAAATTATTTTTTGAAGTCAAATAAATTAAAATAATTTATAAATATGCTATATTATAAATTCATTTTTTTTAAAATAAAATAATATAAGCTTTATAAAAGTGTATAGTTTAGTAATATATATTTAATTTTGTTAATTTAAGACATCAAATTCACCGTAGCTCAACTGGCAAAAAGGTAAATACTAAAGGTGTAGCTAAGGTCATGTGTTCTACTCCAAGGAAAGACATATATGTATGGCAAGTAACATGGCATGATATGGATGCTCACATGATAGATGACATGGCTCACATATGGAAGGGGATAAAATTTAATTTTTAATGTTATCTAAATTTCTCATAGAATTTCTCTTGATATAATCTGTGAGAAATGTCTCTCAGAACATTTTCAAGAAAAAGTTCTCATGAAACATTTTGAGAGAATATTTCTCTCAAATAAATCCGAGAGAAGTTTCTCTCAGATTTTTTCAAGAGAAACAATTTCTCTTGGATTGATGGAAGGGGATAAAATTTAATTTTTAATGTTATCTAAATTTCTCACAGAATTTCTCTTGATATAATTTATGAGAAATATCTCTCGGAACATTTTCAAGAAAAAGTTCTCATGAAACATTTTGAGAGAATATTTCTCTCAAATAAATCCGAGAGAAGTTTCTCTCAGATTATTCCACAAGAACCATTTTCTCTCGGATCAATCCGAGAGAAATTGTTTCTCTTGGAAAAATCTGAGAGAAAATAAAAATTTTTATGAATTTTAACTCATTTAAATTTTTTGAGAGAAAATTCAAGAAAAATCTCTTTTCTCATGGTTTTTCTATGTTTTATTTCAGAATAGAAACAAGAGAAAATCAAGGATTATTATAACATTACAAATACTTAGATATTGAGAGTCAAATTGGATAGAACATGAATGATGTAGTACACCTAGTCCATGCAAGAATTATTTGGCAAGTATACATTTGCAAAGCTAATTTCATGAAATGTACAAAATGGGCTAACTTTGGTATTAACTGGGCATGCAAAGCTTATATATTATCTTAAGGCACACAAAAATATAAATTAAAATCTAGCAAAAGGATTTAAAAAAAAAATATCATTGTAAAATGCAAGAAATGCTAATAGCACATTATGCAAGACATACCTGTTAAGGAGTTGTAAGACAAAGACAACAACTCAAGTGAGGATAAGTTGGAAATAGTTGGAGGTATTCTTCCAAAAAGCTTGTTTCCTGCAAAGCGTAAAATCTTCAAGCATTGAAGTGTTCCAATTTGGAATGGAATAACTCCTTCAATAAAGTTATCATTCCAATCCAAAGTTTTTAACTTTGACAATTTGGATACACTTTTAGGAATAACACCTCCAAAACTATTATTACAGAGATGGAAGTGTTGAAGGGTAAATAAGCTTCCAATCCAAATTGGAATTTCTCCGTTGAATTCATTGTAGCTCAAGTTGAGAATTTGCAGCTTTTTTAATTGGATCAACTCTTTTGGCAAATCACCATAAAGGTTGTTACTATGAAGGTCAAGCTCAACTAGGAAAGACAAATTCCCAATTTTTGAGGGTAAGGTTCCCTTGAGACCCATCTCACCAAGATTCAAGGCTATTACTCTCTCATGGTGAGCATCACACATAATCCCAACCCATTTGCAAATAGAAGAAGAGTTGGACCAATTAGCCAAGTGATTGTAAGGGTCCTTGACAGAAAACTTGAAAGCCAATAGTGCCAATTCATCATTCATAGTAAAATTGGCGTGGCATAAAGTGAAACAGACCATGAGACAAAGTAAAGAGAACAGGGGGAAGGGGATATGAAAACAAAGATTTGCCATGTTGGATAGGTTCAAGGTTTCTTAGATTGATGAAGTGGTTGGGAGGAGGAGGTTGTACTATATATGTATATATATGCGCTTAGAAATTCATAAGCACACCTTTTAAATAGGAGGGGATGATTATATATGCATTTAAAACTGTTGATTAATGGTTGAAATTTATCGACTAATGACATTTTCTACTTCTGTATTAATTAATGGCCACCACTGGTCATAATGTTGGGATGGTGGGGCCTGTAAGGAAGTTTGGAAATGAGACTGTATTGGCGTGTTGGAATAATTTGTTGGAAATCTGGACCATTTGATATTGGAATAAAAAATGAATTTGGTAGGGAGATATTAATGGAAGGAATTTTTTTATTTTACATAACATATAAATATTGATAGATAAACACTGTTATAAATACAAAAAGTCCGTGCCCAAAAAACAATTACCAAGCTTAAAAAGATTTTCATAAAATTGATTTAACTTGTCAACCTTAAATAAAAAATATTTAAATATCCCAAAAATATAATTAAAAAAATAACAGTTATATGTATTAGATACCATAAAAAAATTTAAATACTCCCAAACAAATTGTAGCCTTGTGTGAGCTTTAAAATATATATTCTATCTAGTTCCTATTATAAAGTGTTTTTAACTACTTCATGGGAGCAAAAAAAAAAAAAGACACTTAACTCATTAAATATGTCTTAAAAAGAAAAAATTTTCAAATTCACCCCTATTAAAAATGGAGAGGAATACAATGCATGATATGTCATAAAATTAAATTTACAATAGGGGTAAAATAAAAAAATGATAATAAATAAGCCTCCATATTCCTTATATTAAGGATCAAAGAATACTCTTTCAAGGTGCCGTATAATAGGGACATGATGGGGTATTAATTATATTAGTGTATTTATTAACTTGTTGAAATACAATCATAAGTATTGGTTACAAATTGCTTCCACAAGCCAACAAGTTAAAGAAATAGAAATATCCAAGGAATTAAATGAAAATCTTTACTATCATATTAGACTTGATAGTACAAATTAATCACCCTAGGATACCTTAGATGGTAAGCATAGAATAAAGTGTTTGTACTACTTAATATATGCACTAGAATTTGAAAAAATTATTATTATTTCAATGATGGCTATTTTTAAATAACACTTGCTTTACTCAATTTATAAAATCATATTTTAAAAATTTGAACTCAACAAAAATAATGTATCGACCATTCAATTCCTAACATTCAATCTATTGCTTTAGATAACTAAAAACAAATTATCCATTATTGTGTCATTTTTTTCCAAGATATAAGTACATAGTTGAGCCGGCTTGACCAAAGAAAAATATGAACGCCAACTAACAAGATAGATTGTCACCATTAATAACTTCTTTTCTTGTTGACTTCAATAATGGGTTGGTAGGAGTCAAGAATTCTATTATTATGCCATTTTCTTTACGCGGTCTTAATTTTTAGAATGGAATACCTTAAATATACTTACATTGCGCTTGGATGGGTAGGTTTCGGATGAAAATTTAGATTTAAAATCTCACATTTGAAATTCATAGATTTTAAATTCATTGGATGACATAAAAAATTTCAAGAAAAAATTACACATAGGTCCCGTGGAGTTGACTTATTTACAAATAAGTCTCACAAAATTCAAAAACCACAACTAGATCCTTTGGAACTTGAATGTAATTTAAAATTTGGATAAAAAAACAATAATGCACTATTAAATATATGTGCATTACATCAATAAAATAATTTACAACTATTTTATCAATAAATTACAAATATAACTTTAACTTTTTACAACTTTAATTTCATATATGTAATAATTAAATTAAACTGATTAGTTTAACTATTGAATACATGAAATTACAGTTGTAAAAAGTTAAAGTTATAGTTGTAAATTACTAATAAAGTAGTTGTAAACAATTAATATTAAAATTTATTAGTAATGCGTGATTGTTGAACTATTGGACATGTGAAGTTACATTTGTAAAAAATTAAAATTATAGTTGTAAATTACTGATAAGGTAGTTATAAATTAATTAATTGATTGATGTAATGTATGTTTAATGGAGGTATTATTGTTTTTGTAGTATAATTTCAAATTACACTTCAGTCCTAAAGGACCTAGTTATGGTTTTCAAATTTCACGAGACTTATTTGTAAATAAATCTACACTATAGGACCTACACATAATTTTCATAAATTTCAAATAATAATATTAAAATTGTTTGTTTGAATATAATGTGAAAGTTGACAGTCCAATCTCAATCAAAGGTGGTAGCCCAATCTCAGTCGACACTAACTGTTCAAACCCCAAAAAAAATTAGTAGTCCACTCTCAATCGACAGCAATAGATTGGTACCGATCAATGTTGGTGGTTTAGTCTAGGTCAAAGTCAACAGTCTAATCAATGCCAATGGTCTAGGCCCAGTCAGTGCTAGTGTGTTAGGTCCTAGTTGGCATTATTAGTCTAGTCCCAATCATCCTCAGTCAGTGCCAGTAGTCCAATCAAAGTTGGCATCAACGATCCAGTCTCAATAGAAGTTAGTAATCTAGACCCTGTTGGTGCCAACAATCCAATCCTAGTTGAAGTTGGCAATCCGATCCCGATTGGCACAAAGTGGTCTGGTCCTGATCCATGGTTGTTGTCTAGTTGTGGTGGCACCAACACTTTGGCCTAATCATCAACGGCAGTCTAGTCCTAATAAGCATTGATGGTTTAGGTCCAAATGATAGACGGGATGGGTCTTGATCACTATCAGTGTTTGGTCTAATTGGTGGAGGTTTGGTCACATTTGGCATAGACAGTCCAGTGCTTGTCAACAGCAATAGTCCAATCTTAGGCTATGGAAATGAACAAGTCCTAGACAATAGTGGCAGGTTGGCCTTGAACAACTCTAACAATTAGCACTGGACAATGATAGCAATTCGAGGGCTGCAGATTGGTCCTAGATGATGAAACCAGACCATTACTGATTAACAACAACATGTGGTGCTAGATGATGAAGGTGGACAGATCATAGATGATGATCACAGAGCAATCCCGGACAGCAGCAATGACAGTGAACCAATGCCAGTCAAATATGGTAGAATGGCATTAGACAACCATAGCGGACTAATACTGGTATGATGGCAGCGGCAGATTGGCATCGAGTTGCAGCGAAGGGTGATTGAAAGTGAATTAAAATTGAAATTCCTAATATGTAAAAGGAATTTGAGATGCAAAGGAATTATATTTAAGTATGGATTTAGATTTGGACCAAATCCAAATTCACAAATTCCCATGGATCCAAACAGTGAATTTGGCTCAAATTTAAATCCAAATCCAAATTCAAATGAATCCAAACATAACATAAAATTATTTTTATTCCTCCATGCACTATTATTGTTCCATTTTCTCTAGGCATATGAATTGACTTAGACTTTGAAATTATGCATTGGGATAGAAAAATAAGACAACCATTATGGTCTTTTTTTTCCCAAAATTTGTATTTCTTTATGTGAATTGAACTAAAAACAAAAAACATTATGGTCTTTTTTATAAAATTTTTAAGACATTTGGAGGAGAGATTTTATGGTCCTTTTTTAAAAAAATTTCATGATCACTTACAACTTAGAGAATTTAAAAACCTCAATTTTTTTATTATATTGGCTCAAAATAAATGCATATTTAGATTATTAATGAAATTAAGAAAAAATTGTAGTAAAAGAATTGAAGAATGACCCAAGATGACAAAAGATGGATGACTTGGAAAGGAGAAATAACATGTTGGCTCTCATTTGTTTTGCCAAAGAGATAACCATTCATATTGATGGACCATAAACACAAGTCCCGAAATAGTAAGTTCGAAACAAACAAAATCAGACAACAGCAAAACATTTAAAAAAAATAAAAATTAGCCAACAGCACAAACATCAATTCTGTCCTTCTCTAGTAGGTGATCGACGTCAACAAATTAAGATGATCCAACTAGTAAGGAGTTAATCCATTTTCCATAAGAATATAAGTTCATATGCCGCGGTCGACATGTGGATTTTTCTTGTAACTTGTTAAAAAATAACTTGCAAACTACCTTTAAAGCAAAAGGCATAGATAATCTTACTTCAAAATTTTAATCACTTGAAATACCCTTCCATCACATTTGTCAGTCTATTGAAAATGGAATTGGTCAAGGAATCTTTTACCATGTATATTATGTTCCATGCCTTTCCATCATAGCCTCAAGAATGTGTATGTATATATATGTTCTCATCATATAATATTAGGAGAGTAACAAATTGAATTGTTGAAATTGCTCTTAATTTTCTTATGCATTTATATTAATACGAAGTTAAATATAATTTTATTTTCCTCTGTTTACATTAAAGAATTGTTTTTATATGTTTTTTATTCTGTTTTTTATTTTATCATACAAACATAATTAATTTTTTTCCCATCGTTTTCTATACATAAAAAGTTGTTTTACAACTTACAACTCTCATGTTATTATTTTGATCAACACTATGTCTGGAACAATCCAACTGGTCAAACACATATGATTTCATTTATTGTTATTATGAGAGCCTTTGATTCGACAAACAATAAATGGGCTTTGCTATGATGTCACCAAAGAAAGTGGATGGAGTTAGGTTAATAAACATTATATGAATGAAATGATATTGATATTGGAGAAGATATTGGCGCACTTATCAACTTGTTGGAGAAGATACAAAGACCACATATTACTGCCCCACTTTCTCTATGCCAATCACATATGAGTTTACTTGACTTAGAAATACAACACTCATTGATTATAAAATGAAATTTATTCTATGAATTGTTAGGGATTAATTATGCGTGCCATAGTCGGATTATTCTAACAAAAAAGAATCAACATCATTGTGTATTGTTTTTTAACAACATAAGTATATGGATTGTTTGGCTAGGAAAATTTTATATAAATTTGTCACCATTCATGACTTCTTTTTCTCTTTGGTCATATTAATGAGTTGTGTGAAAAAAAAAAACAAGAAAACATCCCAATTCATAGAACCTCCACATTGTCAATGAAATGACTAAAACAAATATACATAAATTATTTTTATTCCATTGACCTATCATTTTGTAATTTTTTTATGCAATGAGTATATGAATTGATATGAAAACACTATCAAAACGATAACTACCATTTATGATTTTTTTCCTTAAAACAAAATAGATTGGGGGTTAGTCATCAGTGTGTTTTAAAGATAAATTCAAATATAATAGCAAATAGGACAATCAATATAGTATGGATCAACTTTGATTACATTTGGAAGCAAATATAGTGGCACTTACATATTGATATCAATGACAAGTCCCAGGAATTGAAATGATGATGATGATGATAGAAAGGTGACAAATATAAGAGAGTTGTAAACTTGGTCTGTAATGGTGAATCCATACCTAGTTAATTATTAATTAATGATAATTAATTGATGAATGTGAAAAGGATAATTAATTATTTGGTCATGAAACCATAATTAATTGAACATGCTAATCAAACATAATTTGAGAATTTTTTTGACCAAAGTATTTTGAGAATATTATTAATTAATAGTTCTATCATCTCAACAAACATGTATTTACCTCCCTTTAGTCAAGATATGTGTTTTATTATCAGAATAGATAATGACAATAAGTTTTATCTTTATGTCTTTTGTTGTAGAATATAATTAATATGAAGAGTAGAGAAGGACAAGACAATACAAGAAATGGAGGGAAAACAATGAAGGAGAATTCTTATTCACTAATATACATATACTTTGGACACAACCTCTATTTATAGGCCTTAAACCATTCAAGTCCTATTCTAATGTTACAAAGATATAATAAGGCATATAATGGTGCATTATGTAACCTTTGAAGGTTATAAGTTATTAAGACTAAGAATTTCCTTCCATGCCATTCATGAGGACATTAAGGATAAAGGAATTCTAAAGGCTATGAGTTATGGACATCCATAACATAATATTTATAATACTCCCCCTTGGATGTCCATAACAAATAGTATGCTTCATTAAAACCTTACTAGAAAAAAACCAATGGGATAAAAACATAATAAAGGAAAAAGAGTACACAATATTTTTAAACATTCACTAATGTTGCCTCATTAAAAACCTTTCTAGAAAAACTCAGTGGGACAAAACCTTAGAAAGGAAAAAAGAGTACAACATAATATTTACTCCCCGTAGTCTCCCCTGGTAACAAATATCACTTCATTCCCCCTGATGACATCACCACTTTATATCTCTGAGTTTGTGCATTCCAATTCCATACACTAACTTCTATAATGTCAAAGTTGGTAGTGTCTTAGTAAACAAATTTGCAAGATTGTCATATGAGTGAATTTGCTGAACATCTATATCACCGCTTTTCAAAAGGTCATGAGTGAATTTTTTTTTTTGGAGAAATATGTTTTGTTCTATCTCCTTTGATATATCCTCCTTTCAATTGAGCTATGCATGCTGTGTTATCCTCAAATAATATTGTTGGAATCCTTTTTTTTCCAACAATAAACCACACATCTTTTGGATATGATGGATTACTGATCTTAGCCAAATACATTCTCTACTTGTTTCATGAATTGCAATTATTTATGCATGATTTGATGAGGTAGCAGCTAAAGTTTGTTTTGTTGAATGCCAAGATATTGCTGTACCCCACAAGTAAACACGTATCCATTTTGTGATCTACCTTTATGTGGATCTAATCGAAATCCTCCATCTGCATAACCAAATAAATTAATTAACAAATGCCCAATACTTAACATAATAATAATAATAATAATAATAATAATTAAAAATCATCTACATAAAATATATTATTTCAGTAAAAGAAATTTTATTGATAGATTAATTGGAATGCTATTCATTTACATGTTAAATTCCAAAATCCAATGGTTTTCTCCCTCAATTCTTCTCAAGGTACTACTCTTCCTCACACCCTAGCTATAAGAATATGCATAAATGAAACCTCAATTTACTTCCTATAGTTATATAAACTTTATTCTACTACCAACACAATTCCAACCAATTGCAAGTATTCAAAATTTCAAAACTCAAGATTCATATCTTAATGATTTCCAAAATATCATCACATACCACCAATTTACCTCATATCACTCTAATCATAATTACTAATTAAATGAGACATAGTTTTCTTATGCCTTGTGTCAACCACCTTGTGTGCACAATTTCCAAATACCCATAATTAAATTTGCAATGCTTCTTTTACCCATTTTCTCAAACACCTTTTTGTGTACTAATTGTCTAATTCAAACGAAACTTCTTCCTCTTTAATTCCCTCTCCCAAAAAATTTTCTATATCAGTATTGTAATTAATAATTCAATAAATTTCATTTACAACCTTCTAGTTAAACTCAATTATATAGCATTTAAATCAATCATACTTCTCACCATAATTAATAAAATTCAAAAAATGTATGATCAAACAAAACTCTCCTAATGGGTATTTTATCAAACATCTTATAGGCACCAATATTAAGTTTTACATCTAAGCTATTTTCTTTCAATTTCACCCTAACAAATTCTTCAACACCAAGCATTTGAAACAAATTTAATTTAACACAAAAATTATGACCTATAATTATCATAATTATACTTCCAGTAGATAAATTTCAGCTCAATTCCAACTTTTTTTTCATTCCTTCAACAGCCACGGACAGTAGCAAAATAATAAAAAAAAAATTGCAACTTCAATTATCCATTCCCACACTCACACGCATAGGACAAGAAGCAGGGCTCAAGCTTTCTCACCTAAATCCCTAATATTGACAAAGAAATAGGGAGTAGACGAACCTACAGCAGAACAGGGGAGAGAATTTTTGCATAATACATGAAAGAGGAAGACAAACAAGACCAACCGAACTAGACCAAGAAGCACAAGACTCATAAGTAGTACCTCAGATCAATGATTCAACTTTTATGCCGCCCACTACACGAACACAAACAGTGAAAATAGAAAAAGAAATGACAGAGGACCAACAGAGGTGAGGAACGACGGAGAACCTGGTGTTGCACGGTGGTAACGAGCACCCATTAGTGCCGACAGTAACTAAAAAAAAGGGAAGAGATGAACGCGCAGAGGAGGACGAAGGAATGGCTGATCAAAGCTTCTCTGTTTCTCATATCTGGAAAAATAGAAGAAGAGACTGAGAATTTATCAGATTTGAAACAAGGGCAGTTTGGTAATTTCATAAAATAAAATGGAAAAAAAAAAGCCTCATCGGGTTCGAACTTGAAACTTATGAGGCGGGATACTTGGACAGCTTCCACTACACTAATTTTCCTTCTGGCCATATTTGTCCTAAGAATTAATATAATTACTATTAAACATATTATTACATATTATATATATTTTTTAAAATTCCTGGGTTATTACAATAATAATCATCATCATCATGACATCAAATACATAAATATAAAGAAAGAAAAATAAGTATATCAATCTTCATAAAATATATAACAACAAATAATAAAAATAAAGTAATAGATAGTAAATGAGACTTGATTAAATTAAATCACTAATCATATGATTATTTTCAAATGAATAAAATGGAGAAATTTAAAATTACTTTATAACTAAGAAAAATGAAATAATAGAAAAATAAAACAATAAAATATAAGAACAACATAAGCATGAATGTTAATAAAACAAGAATATAAAATATAATTATATATATATATATATATATATATAAGAACACATTAATCTAACTAAAAGCTCATACCTTATTTTTAGAGCCAATTGGTGCTAATAACATGTTGCAAAATATAGTTAATATGAAGAGTAGAAAAGGACAAGACAATACAAGAAATGGAGAGAAAACAATGGAGGAGAATTCTTGTTCACTAGTGTTCATACGCTTTGGACATGACCTCTATTTATAGGCCTTTAACCATTCAAGTTCTATCCTAATGTTACAAAGATATAATGAGGCATAAGCCTTTGAAGGTTATAAGTTATTAATACTAAAAAACTCCTTCTATGCCATTCATGAGGACATTAAGGATAAAGGAATCATAAGAGCTATGAGTTATGGACATCCATAACATAATATTTATAATATATTTAATTTTTTTTCCAAGTTTTATCTTTTTATTGCTCATATATATACTCTTATTAGAGGCAATCTTATTCAAGGCACTATTAGGTACAAAATGTGTGAACATTTCCCAATGGAGATTCCAATATTGGTTCGCTAGCTATATTATGAGAGACTAGCCTCTTCTACTAGATCTAACTCTATTCTTTCTAGCTAATAGTCAAAAACTACAACAAAATTAAGGACCCTAACTATAGTCTATGTGGAGCACCTAATCATATTTTCAAGACATAATGCATAAATTTCATAATTATATCAAAAGGAGATATTTATGAAACAAATCTCCATCTAGCGCAGCAAAAAGTCCCTCAGTAGTCAGCAAGATGTATTATGTCAGCTGCACTATCTAACACCAAACTAAAAAGTTTTTAATGAATAACGTCCTAACCATAAAATTTGTAGGATTAAAATGAATAATTTACGACAGTTATGAAAATTAAAGATAAAGTGATTTAATATAATAAAATAGTAAACTTAGAATAAAAAATTCTATACAGTTTTAATATCATGAACCTTTAGATCTTTAATGAAGTAGCAGCTTTAACATGTAATATTGACAAATTAAATATGTTCAATAAATAAATAAAAATAATAACACTTACTAATTAAAAACTATTAGAGCATGAAATCATCAATTAATTAAAAATTCATATTTTTGGGAATTTATTAGAACAATTCACAAATGTGGACACACAATCTATGAAGATAAATGACCAAACACAGCTTATTCCACAAAGACAAATGTGAACACATAATCCATAAAGGTAAGTAACCAAATGCGACCTGACTTACAAAACAAACGTAGGCACATAGTCCACAAGAGTAATATTAACCAAACACGGTTTAAAGCCACAAAAACAAATGCAAGTGTTACATCCATGAATAACAAATATGAGAACAAAGCTTACAAAAACAAAACTAACTAGTCATTAACCTTGGCACACTAAGGGTTAATGGAAATACAGTCAGCAACTAGTATTCTATATAAAGTTCCCTCCAAATCCATTTTTAAGCATGCAAGAAAATTATCACTATTAAAATACAATTTCCATGCTCAAAATCAACCTCGCATGAATAGTTTTAAGCACCAAAACTTGCCAAAATAAAGTTTCATATCTAATTTTCTTGGTTGCATTTATTGAGTAGCCAAAATTATCAAAGCTAATAAAAATAATTTCATCAATATTAAAAGTATACTTCATAAAGAAAAATACAAGCCCATGCCATAATGTAATTATTCTTCACCATCACTTTATAATTTCAAAAGATAAAGAAATTTAAATAACAAATTGTCCAATATTTAATGTCATACTCCAATACTAAAGATATGACTGGCACAGAATATGAGATAAACTAACATTCCATAAGCCGTAATCAAATAGATATTAAGAAAAATATCAACAAATAATCCCTACTACTCAAAAAAAAATCTCTAATATATATATATAATTATAAAATTGCTAAAATTTTAAACTATAATGACCCTGAATTTTAAATTAAGTTAAATTAATTTTCTCTTCTAATTAAAATTTTATTTAAGTTAGATTTATATAAGGGTGGTGATTCGTAGAAACTTATGCTAGTAACTTTTTTGAAGATCTAAAATTTGAATTTACCAAGCGAAAATTTGGTTTTATTTTATTTTTTATTATTATTTATTACAGGAGATTCTGTGCCTTTCTTGTAATTTTTTCTTGGGCCTTTCTTGTAATTTTTCCAAATACTTTTTTGGATCAGATTTTATTTCTTCACACGAAGGAAAAGCAGAGCATCCCCATCTTTCTCTTTACCGCCATTACTTTCCTCTGGTTCTTCATCGTCGGTCCTATCCTCTGGCTTCTCTCGTTGCTTTCCTTTGCTTGCTGTCAACATGTGCCCCTTCGCTACTGTTGGATTCTCCGCTGTTGTGGTTGGCCGCTGGAAATGGTGAAGACGTTCGTTCTGCTGTCGTTGTTCTCTGCTGTTTCAGGTCTGTGTGGGTGTGTGTTCAACCTTTCTATTTCGTTTCGTTTAATAGCTGGAAGTCCGTGTGTGTGCATAGCAAGCTCAAATCATTCTTTTTTTTTTTTCCTTCTTTTTGGTCTATAATTTTTGTTTCTCCTCCTCGTTGAGCAGCCCGTTGGATTGAAACTGCCCTTTTCTTCTTCAGTCTGGTTCGTAAGCCGAAGGGTGGTAGCTCCACTGAACTTTAGTGGAGGTAAAACATTGATTCTTCCTTCTTCTCCTTCGGTTTCAATTCCAACATGAATCCTCCTTCTTTCCCTGACCGAAGAAATGCGTCCCTATTTCTTTGAGTTGTTGCCATAAATTTTTTTTTTTAATCTGAGTTGTAATTTCGGTTGATACTGTGCATGATTTTGGTTAATGACAAGCTGAATGTTGGTAATAGAAACAATGTTGGAGGTTGATTAAATGGTTGGATGACTATTATGAGCTTAATTTGGATGCATTTAAGATATTTGTAGAAATGTTTAAAAGAAAAAAATTTACGGAAATAATGTTGCTAAATTGATATAATATAACTTGGAGAAGTATATGTTGAGAAATGTCTTGATCTATTGATTGAAATATAAAAAAATACCAAATTAGGAGCAAGGATTACATTGAATGTTTGTATAATACTTTATTAAGTTTAAAGAAAGTATAAGAATAGTTTATATAATTTATTATAATTTATGATTGAGAATGGGTTACAAGGAGGCATAAGGATGAATTAAAATTTGTCAAATAGTTTAATTGACTCAAGTATAGTTGAAACTCAAATGAAAACAGTACCATCTTAATTATTGCTTACAAATTAATTGTCGATGTATTGTGAAAGTATGAAGTTGCATGTGATTTAGTTTATATTATGTTTTAAGATATTTGAACATAGGATTTGGTGGAAATATGACTAATATTTTTCATAATAGGACCTAGTGGAATTATAAATGCTACTTGATGAAATATATGTCTTTACATACAAGTTGAGTTACTAATTGGAACCATGTAGCACCTGAAGGAAATTATTAGAGTAAATGATAATTAGGATTTTGTTAAGCTCAGAATAAGAGTTGTGTTAATGGTTATGGTTGAATGTTGCCTAGTGTTGTTGATAACTTGATAAAAGTTGTTAAAGGGTTTAGTAAAAATTAAGGGGTTAATGAGAAATTTAAAGGATTATCAAAGATTTTGAATGTTAATTTTGCTTGTTTATTATAAGAGAGAAAATTCATAATAACAAGAGGATTGTTGGATTATGTGTTAGATTATTTGGAGAATCATTGACGTATGTGAGAACTTAAAGGAGTCAAATTTTAGAATTCTTGAAAACTCTCAGGTGAGTGGGTGGCGTTCCAAATATATTTTCAGTAAAGTGTTTATAAAAATTTATTTATTTAAATATTATTATTATTGCTTTATAAATTGTTTACATATTTTTGTTAATCCTATTTCTATATTAATGGTATTATTTCTCATAAGCAGTTTAATTATTTAATTTTATGTTGATATAAAATTTTTATTGCAATAATTTGTGTATGGAGGAGATGATGATAATTTTGGGCAATGGAAAATGATAGTTGAATAATATTTGAAAGTGAGAATTTTGAAACTATTTTTCTTTCTCCATACACACTTGATTTTAACAAGGGGGACTGAGTTCAAAATGTTGGATACTAACGGCAGTTCCATTAGCCCTTAGCACGCCATGCTACACCTAGCTAGCAAGGTATTTATGGGAGGTGCTAGCCCCATGCGCAAGCCAATGCATGTGGAACAAAGGGACAATTATTCATGAGCATTGTACTCATGCTTGTTCATGGGCATCATGCCTGTGCTTGACTCATGGCTCCAACCATGCTTGTTGCATGGCTTTTAGCCTCTCTTGATTAGTTACTTACCCTCGTGAACTGTGTGTCCATGCTTGGTTAGTTACCCTTGTGGACTGGGTGTCCACACTTGCTATTTGTTCTGGTAAAGTCCTTCTAGATCTAAACTTAAAATTCATTATTTTTATATTATTTCTTTA